TGTCCAGAGGAAGTTGATTTCATTTAATGCAGAGCAATGAGAGTTTGGGGAAAAGCAGCTTTGATACATTTTCCTCGCATGGACAACAGCTGAGTCTGGCAGGCTTCAAAGCACCTGTTAAATGAAACCTTGACAAATGTTGCATCTAAACATGCTGATTCATTCATTCATTCATGGCTAGGCTTCGCGAACGAAGATTTGGGAAGGGCTCTACCCACTTTTCTTGCAAGCGCGTTGGTGGCTAAAAAGGCCAATACGAGAAAGGCAAGTCCGGTTGCAAAAGGCACAGCAAAAAGACTCCTTAGATGGTATATTCTGCAAGGCTCGATTCTTTCTGCGTTGTCTTTTCTCCTCAAGGGTGAACCTGCGTGCTTTCTCAAAAGCATCAGCAGCGTTATAGATGGTGTGTCTCCAGGCCTCCTGATTAGAGGCCAGAGTAGACCAGTTATGGTGATCAATATGCCTGAGGCTGAGTTGTTGCTTCAGGGAGTCCTTGTATCTTTTCTTCAGAGCTCCTCTCTTGCGGCAGCCGGTGGCAAGTTCACCATAGAGCAGGATCTTAGGGAGGCGATGGTCCTTCATCCTGGAGACGTGCCCTGCCCATCGCAGCTGTGTTCTCAGTAGCATGGCCTCAATACTTGTGATTGCTGCCTGTTCAAGAACAGATGTATTGGTCACATAATCTGACCAGTGGATGTTAAGGATTGTACGGAGGCAGCGTTGATGGAAGCTTTCTAGGAGACGCAGGTGGTGGTGGTAGATGACCCATGATTCGGAACCATATAAAAGAGTAGACAGCACTATGGCTCTGTAAACACTAATCTTGGTACTTTTCTTCAAGTGTTTATTACGCCATACTCTTTTATGGAGTTTTCCAAAAGCACTGTATGCCTTCGCTAACCTATTGTGTATCTCCCCATCAATCTTACCATCCGAGGAGATGAGGCTGCCTAGGTAATTAAACTGTTGGACTGAATTGAGTTCTGACTGGCCGATGGTGATGTGGGGATGGTGGGGGACTTCCTGAGGTGCAGGCTGATGGAGAACTTCTGTCTTCTTTAAGCTGACTTCCAGCCCAAATAGCTCAGCAGCATCTGCAAAGCAGGATGTTAAACGCTGCAGAGCTGCTTCTGTGTGGGCAACAAGGGCGGTGTCATCAGCATAAAGCAGCTCCCGGACAAGATGGTTTAAGGTCTTAGTGTGGGCCTTCAGTCGCCTTAGGTTGAATAGGCTTCCATCAGTACGATATCGAATGTAGATACTGTCCTGATCATCGAGGTCTGCCGTGGCCCTTTGGAGCATCATACTGAAAAAGACTGTGAATAGGGTAGGAGCAAGAACGCAGCCTTGTTTCACACCATTCTTTATTAGAAAGGGCTCAGAAAGTGTGTTGCCATATCTGACTTGGCCGTGCTGATCCTCATGAAGTGAGATGATCATTTGAAGGAACTTGGGGGGACAACCTAAACGTTCCAAAATCTGCCAAAGACTTTTTCTGCTCACAGTATCAAAAGCCTTGGTGAGGTCGACAAAGGTTACATAGAGACCTTTGTTCTGTTCCCTGCACTTTTCTTGCAGTTGTCTGAGAACAAATATCATGTCTGTGGTGCTCCTGTTGGCTCTGAAGCCACACTGACTTTCAGGTAGAATTTCTTCTGCTATAGCGGGTATTAGTCTGTTCAAGAGTATTCTTGCCAAGATTTTGCCAGCAATGAAGAGTAGAGTAATACCACGGTAATTTGAGCAGTCTGATTTAGTACCTTTCTTCTTATACAAGGGGATGATGACTGCATCACGAAGGTCTGAAGGTAGTTTGCCTAGGTCCCAACAGCGCACCACAAGCTCATGAAATTTAGCATGGAGTGCAAGGCCCCCATGTTTCCAGACTTCAGGTGGGATTCCATCAACCCCAGCTGCCTTGCCGATTTTCACCTGCTGTATGGCCTTGAGGGTTTCTCCTAAAGTGGGGGCAGTATCCAATTTGTATTTCACCGGTTGCTGTGTGATGGACTGAATTGCTGAGTCTTGGACTACACGGTTGGTACTGAAAAGAGTCTGAAAGTGTTCAGACCATCTATTCAGAATGGAGGTTTTATCTGTCAGAAGCGTTTGACCATCTACACTGAGTAGTGGGCTTTGGACTTGGTATGTAGACCCGTATGCTGTTTTCAGGGCCTCATAGAATCCTTTGTGATCCCCTGTATCTGCACATAGTTGAGTTTTTGCAGCTAGATCGGTCCACCACTTGTTCTGGATGTCACGGAGTTTCTGTTGGAGCTTGCTGCATGCAAGATGAAAGGCTGTTTTTCTTGCGTGACAGGATGGCAGAGCAAGGTGTGCTTGGTGGGCAGTTCTCTTCTTCCTCAACAATTCCTGGATTTCTTGATTATTTTCATCAAACCAGTCCTTGTTCTTCTTGAGGGAGAACCCTAAGGATTCTTCAGAGGATTGCAGGATGCTGCTTTTAATATGGACCCCTGGTGGCCTAGTGGTTAGCATGCAGGACTCTCACTGCTGCGACCCAGGTTCGAATCCCAGTCCCCCGGGCAGATGGAGCTCGTTAGCCCTGTGAGGCCATCCATCTATGAGAAGGTCACTCTAAACAAACCTACGTCCTGAGGACCTCACTGCCATTGTCCAAGCTTGCTTGGCCCCGGCAGATGAACCTTAGGATTAAAGGGTGGGCTCAGTTCAGCGCATGCTGTGTCTCACCTAAAAAATCCATTGTGCAGGCTGGAAAGATGAAAGACCTTTCCCGAAATCTAAACATGCTGAATTAAACTGCTAAATGCATATCAGAATTTTCCTGTACTTTTTCATGCAGAATGTTTGATATAGAGCTTGTATTTTACTTGGGAGAGGTAAGAGACAGGGTCTCTACTGGTGTGATGCCATCTCAGGAGAAAGAATGGAATGAACTTTTGGCTCCAGAAGCTTTAGAAAAGGAAACACTATTTCTTTAGGTAGTAGAAAACTTCCTTTAACTGCTGGAACTCTTCTGGGTGTTTCTAATAAGTCAGTTAAATGATACATAGTTTTAAATTTTTTTGAAAGTATAAATTCAATAAAGCTTGAATTGTGATTAGCAATTCTTGCCTACATCCAGACAGAATAAATTTATGCAAATGTTAAAAGTAGGAGTGACTTCTTAAATAAAAACTAGAGGTATTTAATACATTTCTGTATGCACTTGAATATTCATCTTAATGGATTTTTTTTTCTTAAAACAATTGAATATGTGTTTCAAATATTTGCTGAGATTTTGAATGGCTGCTCAGCAAATTTTAGCTTAGAGAGACTAGACAGGCAGAAGAAAAACCTAGCAACTGCTATCCTAATTTCGTTTGAGAAAAACACAGTGTTGGCTGAAATATGTACCCTTGTTACTTCTGCTCAATGTCATTTGAAAAGAGTCATTCCTCACAGGTGGATATTCTTTTGAAAATTGCTTCTGGATGACTCTATTGCTTGCTTTGTGCTAGGGTGTGGCATGTATTAATATAATAAATAATAAACCTACACGACCTAGTTGGTTGAGGGTTCAAACAACCAAATCTGTTCATTGGAAGCAAACAGCATCTTTTATACGCACTTTAAAACCACACGTGACTCTCTTAACCAATCACCATGGGGTATCCCAATGCCCATGTGTGCAGGAGTACATTTGGTACTTCATTTCCAGGATGCCCCTTCCAGCATCCCTAAAACACGTCCCCTACACTAGGGCCAAAGAAATTCCACTTCTGTGGAGGCAAGAAGAATCATGACCCTGTTGCACAGGCTTAACCTGTATTGCTGCTGGCACGAGGCTGAAGCTGATGTGAATGTCTTTGCTCACTAGTTTTAAAGTATATTATTTATTTTCAGGCATGGGAGATGGTATTAAGAATAAAAGTCTGGTCCACAAAGTGGTGGAACTTGAACCCCTCTGAATTTGAGTTTTTTCTGGTCAGCATCCCAAGGAAAAACAAGACATCTCTGCAGTTTCTTTGCCTGTTTTCTTTGGGATTGGGTGTTATGGTGTTCAACATATGGTCTACCCATATTTTAAGAAAGCAGTATTCTGGATAATGCTGTAAATGGCGTGTTTTTACATTGCTGACAAGTATGATTATTGAATGATTATTGATTATTGAATGACTAAAATCAAAATCTAGAACCCATCCCAAAATTTCTGACATTTCTGCATTAAATTATCCCTCATTAATCTGCAATGATAAAAATTATAAGAATGCAATACGTTATTACCTGCATTATTATCTACATAATTATCTGCATTAATTTAGTCCTTGTGAGCAGGAAGGAAATATGCCCTGCAAGCATAGCTTGAGGCGTGAGACCTTGACTAAGGGATATGTCAGACAAAGGCAAATTCAAATCCAAAGGCAAAGGCAAAGGGAGGGAAAAAAAGGAAGTATGGAATATCCTATATAAATATCCATATGGAACGGACCCACAAGGATCATCAAAGTCCAGCTCCTGGCCCTGCACAGGGCTATGCCAAGAATCACACCATGTGCCTGAGCTTTTGTTGGTCTCTGTCACACTCTCTCCCACTCAAAATACTTTTGCTGTTCTTACTGGTTTTGGTTTCAATTCTAAAATTGTTCTTACCTCAACCCACAAGGTTTATTTTTTTCTTTCCAGTTCTCCTCCTCACCAGACAGGGGGAATTTGGGGAGGAGAGAGTGAGTGAGCAGCTGCATGGTACTTGGTTGCCAGTTGGGGATAAACCATGATAGTCCTTCTTGGCACCCAATGTGGGGTTTGAAGAGTTGAGATAATGGGCTTGAGAAAGGTTGAGATCGGACCATAGTGTGTTAAAATGAATTTGTTACAAGCATTTATTCTATTAGTTGCATAGATGCTGGCCATCATGCTGTTTTATTTGCTCTCAGTGTTCCTGCATGTATGCTCAGGCACTCGATCCATACTACCACTCTTGCTGTCTGTGTTCCGTGGGGTGATGTTTATTCTCCATGGAGCCTGGGCTAAGGTTTTCATTCTCGTGTTTTCTGCAGTACTGGTTTAGGAGATGGAGGGTCAGATGCCTGCTCAGCAAGTTTGCTGGGGACACGAAGCTGGGAGGAGTGGGCACCCCAGAGAGTTGTGCAGCCCTTCAGAAGGACCTCGACAGGCTGGGGGGGAACCATGGGAAGTTCAACCAAGGCAAAGGCAGGGTCCTCACCTGGGAAGAATAACCCCACGCACCAGCACAGGCTGAGGGTCGACCTGTTGGAAGGCAGCTCATGGGAGAAAGAGTTCACTCAGGGAGGGCAAACAGGAAGGGCTCAGCCACCTCCCAAGTCTCTCGGGTGAGCTTTTTTTTTTTCCTCCCCCCTGCAACTCAACTAAAGCCAGCAATGGTTTCAAAAAAAGTGAAACCCATTGCTGCTGTTATCACAAGAGGTGATAACAGATCACACAGACGGAACCCCTCAAGAAGGACACCAAGATGGATGCAGCTGTTCAGGTCTCTGGCTGTGCAGAGTGTTTGAGCCTGGCGTTAGTACCTGAGGACAGTGTGAGTGACGTCTATGTATGATGTGAGTGGGTGAATGATTTGCTGTGCCAGGTGGCAGAGCTCAAGGAAGAAGTGGAGAGGCTAAGAAACATTAGGGAAAGTGAAATTGACTGGTGGAGTCGCATCCTTTTGCCCCCAAAAGATATCCAGCAGGAGACAGTGAAGCTCTGTCCCTCCTGCCATCAGGCAGATGGAGCAAACCAAGTGGATGGGGGGAAATGGAAACATGTCCATGACTGGAGTGGTAAAAGAATCCACTCCCCCATCACCTCCCTGGGTGCCCTTAAAGAACAGATAGGAGACCCTGGACCCAGAGGGTCAGACAGAGAACAGTCAGGAGGAAGATCCATTTGGAGGGTCTCCCGGTTGCACCCTGTCTACCAGACAGATTACAACCACATCTATAAAGAAAAAAAGAAGGGTGGTTGTAGTTGGTGACTCCCTTCTGAGGGGAACTGAAGGCCCTATATGTCAACTGGACCCATCCCACAGGGAGGTCTGCTGCCTTCCCGGGGCCCGGGTGAGGGATATTAGTAGGAGACTCCCTGAGCTAATTTGGCCCTCAGATTATTATCCACTGTTGGTAGTCCAGGCTGGCAGTGATGACATTAATAGAAGAAGTACCAGGGTGATTAAAAAGGATTTCAAGGTGCTGGGTCGATGAGTTGATGGGACGGGAGGACAGGTGGTGTTTGCCTCAGTTCCTGCAGTAGCAGGGATGAATGCGGAGATGTAGCAATGGATGTTTGGAAAGAGTCCTGCCAAAGATGGACTGATGAAGCAGAAGTTTTTAATGTTGTTTAAACTCATGTTAAGAGGGCTCTTTACAGAGCCACTGCGTTTTCCCCTATACCTCCACTGTAAATCCCTTATCTCTCGGGCCAGAGTGTCCTGGGAAGATGTCCCAAGGTGTTTCCATTGGTCCCTTGTTAACCCCTCCCTTATTGGCTGTAAACCCCTTACCTTGATTGTGACCCCTCACCTGTGATTGGTCCCCAAGGGCTATATAAGCCCCCTCCCACACGGAGAGGACTAGGAAAACCCATCTTATCGATAGGTGGCTTAAAGATTGGTGCCACAGGTGGAATTTTGGTTTTTCGGACCATGGGGCAAATTCCACAGTACCTAGTCTCTTCAAACCCATAAGTTGGCAGGGCTGATCAGGAGGGCTTTAAACTGGGTTTGAAGGGGGAAGGGATTGAAACCTGGCTTTACAGAGATGAGCCTAAGGGTGGAAAGCCAGAGTTAGAAGTGAAATCAGCAGCCCAGCTGAAGTGCATGTACACCAGTGCATGCACTATGGATAACAAACAAGAGGAGCTGGAAGCCATCGTGCAGCAGGAAAGCTGTGATGTAGTCACCATCACAGAAACGTGGTGGGATGACTCGCATGACTGGAGTGCTACCATGGGTGGCTACAGACTCTTCAGAAAAGACAGGCAAGGTAGGAGAGGTGGAGGGGTGGCTCTATATGTTAGAGAGTCTCTTGACTCTGTAGAACTTGAAGTCAGTAACAATAAGGTTGAGTGCCTGTGGATGAAAATCAGGGGGAAGGTCAACAAGGCTGACGTCCTGGTGGGAGTCTGTTACAGACCACTCAATCAGGATGGCAAGGATGATAAGTTATTCTACAAGCAGCTGGCAGATGTCTCAAAATAACCAACCCTTGTTCTCATGGGTGACTTTAACCTGCCGGATGTCTGCTGGGAACTCTACACAGTGGAGAAGAGACAGTCTAGGAGATTCCTAGAGTGCATAGAGGATAATTTCCTGCTTCAGCTGTTAAAGAACCCTACGAGAGATAGGGCCCTGCTATACCTTCTGTTCACAAACAGAAGGGGCTTGTGGGAGATATGGTGGTCGGAGGCTGTCTGGGGCACAGTGACCATGAAATAATAGAGGTTTCAATACTCAGGAATGCAAGGAGGGCCATCAATAAAACTTCTACGCTGGACTTCCAGAGGGCAGATTTCAGCCTATGCAGAAGACTAGTTCAGAGTGTACCCTGGGAAACAACCCTTGAAAACAAAGGGGTCCAGGAGGGATGGACATGCTTCAAGAAGCAAGTCTTGAACACACAGGAGCAGGCTGTCCCAGTGTGCTGAAAGGCAAGCCGGTGGGGAAGACAATTGGTCTGGCTGAACAGGGAGATTTTGAAGGAAATTAGGGTAAAAAAGAGAGCTTACTGATTATGGAAAAAAAGGCTGGCTACTCAGGAAGAGTTTAGGAATGTAATTAGGTCATGTAGAAAGAAAATCAGAGAGACAAAGACACAATTTGAACTCAATCTTGTCACTTCTGTTAAGGATAACAAAAAGTCTTTCTACAGATACATCAATAACAAAAGGAGGAGCAAGGAGAACCTCCATTCTTTATTGGACATGGGGGGGAATATAGTTATCAAAGATGAGGAAAAGGCTGAAGTATTTAACACCTTCTTTATCTCAGTTTTCAACAGGAAGACAGGTTGTCCTGAGGACAGCTGGCTTCTGGAGCTTGTAGACAGAGATATGAAGCTGAATAGCCTCCCTGTAATCCAGGAGGAAACAGTTAGTGACCTGCTGAGCCACTTGGATCCTCACAAGTCTATGGGACCAGATGAGATCCACCCAAGGGTGATGAGGGAGCTGGCAGAAGAGCTCACCAAGCCGTTCTGCATCATCTACCAACAATCCTGACTCACTGGGAGGTCCCAGATGATTGGAAGTTGGCGAACGTCACACCGATCCACAAAAAGGGCTGGAAGGAGGACCTGGGAAACTACAGGCCCGTCAGCCTGACCTCAGTGCCTGTCAAGGTTATGGAGCAGACCATCCTAAGTGCAATCACACAGCACCTACAGGATGGACAAGGGATCAGACCCAGCCAGCACGGGTTTAGGAAGGGCAGGTCCTGTCTGACCAACCTGATCTCTTTTAATGATCAGGTGACCCGCCTGGTGGATGAGGGGAAGGCTGTGGATGTGGTCTACCTGGACTTCAGCAAGGCCTTTGACACTGTCTCCCACAGCATTCTCCTGGAAAAGCTGGCAGGCCACGAGTGGCAGCCCAGGGGCACTCTATGCTGGGTTAGGAACTGGCTGGAGGGCTGGGCCCAGATATTGGTGGTGAACGGTGCTGCGTCCAGTTGGTGGCCAGTCATTAGTGGTGTCGCACAGGGATCAGTGTTGGGCCCATTTCTATTTAAGATCTTTATTGATGATATAGATGAGGGGATTGAGTCCACCATTAGCAAATTTGCAGATGACACTAAGTTGGGGGGGAGTGTCGATCAACTGGAAGGCAGGAGTGCTCTGCAGAGGGACCTGGACAGACTGGAGAGTTGGGCTGATTCCAGCGGGATGAGGTTCAACAAGGCCAAGTGCCGGGTCCTGCACTTTGGCCACAACAACCTCATGCAGCGCTACAGGCTGGGCACAGAGTGGCTGGAGAACAGCCAGGCAGAAAGGGACCTGGGAGTTTGGATTGACAGGAAGCTGAACATGAGCCAGCAGTGTGCCCAGGTGGCCCAGAAGGCCAATGGCATCCTGGCCTGGATCAGGAACAGTGTGGCCAGCAGGTCCAGGGAAGTGATTCTTCCCCTGTACTCAGCGCTGGTGAGGCCACACCTGGAGTACTGTGTCCAGTTCTGGGCCCCTCAGTTCAGGAAGGATATTGAGGTGCTGGAGCAGGTCCAGAAAAGAGGAACAAGGCTGGTGAAGGGACTTGAGCACAAGTCCTATGAGGGGAGGTTGAGGGAGCTGGGGATGTTTATCCTGGAGAAGAGGAGGCTCAGGGGAGACCTCATCACTCTCTACAACTCCCTGAAAGGAGGTTGTAGCCAGGTGGGGGTTGGTCTCTTCTCCCAGGCAACTATCAGTAAGACAAGAGGGCATGGTCTTAAGCTGTGCCAGGGGAGGTTTAGTTTAGATATTAGGAAGAAATTCTTTCCAGAGAGGGTAATCAGGCATTGGAATGGGCTGCCCAGGGAAGTGGTGGATTCCTCATCCCTGGAGGTTTTTAAGATGAGACTGGATGTTGCACTTAGTGCCATGGTCTAGTAACCACGGCGGTGTTGGATCAAGGGTTGGACTTGATGATCTCAAAAGTCCTTTCCAACCCAGCTCATTCTATGATTCTATGATTCTAGGATGTGAGGATCCTTGTGGACAACAAGGTGTTGATGAGCCAGCAGCGTGTCCTTGTGGTCAAGCAGCCCAACAGCCTCCCTGCCTCCCTCTGTCTCTCATTCTTCGGAAGCCCTCTAGGCTGACTGCAGAGATATTTGAAAATTTTGAAGATTTTGAAAGTTCTTTGCATTACCCTTGCAACCAGCCTGGCCCTTTTGCTGGGAATCAGCATGGGCTTGCCTGTGGTTGAGATCTTGTTTAGGCATGAGCCATGATTGGTGGTCACCCCAACCCAGGGACAAGCTCTGCAGCTCCAAGGAAAAGGAGAGCGACTGAAGCTGAACAAATTCTGCTGACAAGCACGGGGGCTACTTCAGTCTCCACAACAAGCACTGCAGCCACTCAATCTCCAGCCACAGGCACTGCGGCCACTTCTGTCCCTGCACCAGGCACTGCATTTACTCGGGGGCCACTCAAACTCCAGCTGCTTCACTCCCTGCAACAAGCAGTGCCACTACCCAAGTTGCAGTGGCAAGCACCGGAGCTACTCAGATCCCAGGGACTGACACTACAGACACTCAGACTTCAACGCTGGCAAGTGCAGATGAACCAACAACTATTTATTACAAGCTGTTCCACCATCTTCTTCTTTTTTTTCCTTTTGCCTTGACATCCGGTCTTGAAGTGTTTCCAAAGCAGAGGTTGTCTGTTGGATGA